GCTCTCCAAGCCCCGTGAAATACCAGAAATGTGCCCCTTCCCCCTCTGTGCTTCTCTCCCTCCAACTACTTATTGGAAGATTTCCAGCTGTACTTTGCTTTCAGAGCTTCAAAGGCTAATGCAGTTCCTCTTATGCAAAACTGGTGTCAGGTATGTAAGAAAAAAAAACAAGAACCAGATAGATGAGGTATAAGGAAACGATGAGGACATCAAGATTTGTTTAGTTTACCCAAATGCATTTTGCATAGAGCTAAAAGTTGATCCAAGATCCTATTAGGTGATGTGAAGCAATTACTTGAATGTGAGCATTTTACAGTAGAGTCACAGAGCTTCCCTGCAAATAATACTATACAAGATTATGTGTTCTGCTTGCTTTTTAAGTAAACACATGTGTAAATCACTTGGCAAATGTGCTTTGAGCCCATGGTTTATTTCTGCTTCAAATTACACTGTAGTCTTGGCTACACCAGGTTCCCTAATGGCAATAGCTAACCTTTTCCAGACAATCCTTCCTGCCCTGCAGCACAGGAGACAATGCCCCATTGTGAACTTACACAGACTTGCAAACATGGTGCAATTTTGGTGTGCAGTGGCCTGAACTTCACACATCCACCAAAGATTCTGGCTGGCCTGTACTTGTCAGCTAGAAAGCATGAGGGAGCCTGGGGTCAGATCCCTTTTTTTTTTTTTTTCATTTTGGTATCATTAATATACAATTACATGAGCAACATTGTGGTTACTAGATTCCCCCCATTATCAATTATCAAGTCCCCACCACATACCCCATTACAGTCACTGTGTGTCAGCATAGTAAGATGCTATAGAGTCACTACTTGTCTTGTCTGTGCTACACTGCCTTCCCTGTGCCCCCCATATTATGTGTGCTAATTGTAATGCCCCCTTTTCCCCTTATCCCTCCCTTCCCACCCATCCTCCCCAGTCCCTTTCCCTTTGGTAGCTGTTAGTCCATTCTTGTGTTCTGTGATTCTGCTGCTGTTTTGTTCCTTCAGTTTTTACTTTGTTCTTATACTCCACAGATGAGTGAAATCATTTGGTACTTGCCTTTCTCCATCTGGCTTATTTCACTAAGATCCTTTTTCTTAAATGTTTAAAGATGATCTAAAAGATACTTTCTTCCCCTCTAGTCTTTTATATGAGCAGAGCCAGGATTGGGGTTAGTTCCACAATAATCAAACAAATCTCTTTCATACACATTTATTTTTATTATACTACTAGTTTAGGGAAATGCACTAACTCTTGTGCTCCTGTAGAGTTCTGGCAGCTGAAACCTCTTGTTTTCACCACGTAGTAGGCTTGTGTGAGGTGCACCAAAGTCATCTCAAATTTATTTCATCTACTTGGCAGATTTCTATTGAGCACCTACTTACCAGCTGGTGTGCCAAGTGCTGGAGGTAATGCCATTGCAAACTCACACAGCATTACAAGGTGATTATTATCTACATTGCACAAATTAAGAAGCTAAGGCCCAGAGATAAGAAACAACTTCTCAAGTGTCACACAGCTGATCCACAGCAAGGCTAGGTTGAAAGCCAGGCCTGTCTCACCTCAGAGTGATTCTCGCCCGTATCTCGCCGCCTTCCTGCTCTCAACAGGCCTTATCGTAAAGGCCCATCATTATAAACGCACAAGATCTTTTTTGAGACTACAATTCATGAGCATTTATAGTGACTCTCCCTAAACAGCTAAAGCTCATGGATGAGAATGAAAAGGGGGATGCTCCCTTTTTTGAACTTAGTATATAAAAACCCACTCAGTCCTTTCATTCCCGAACCGCTCAGCTCCCAAATGGGATGTTTGCAGCCCACGCTTCCGTCAGTTGCGTCTGCAGGCTGGCCTGGGCTGGGAGTGAGCTGGATCTCCGCGGGGTTATGTGCAGAGGGGTGAGGGAAGGAAACCCGGATCCTCAGTCAGGAGCCCCTGAGTTTCTGGTCTGCTTGCTCACCATCTGGATGACTTTACATTGTTTAAATTCAGTACATTCCAAGCTCAGGGTTGTGAGATGCAAATAAGATGGTGTATGTGAGAGTGGTTTGAAAACAAGAACGTAATATATAAAGAATGACCGTTCTTCTAGCTCTTAAAGCAGAAGGTATGGAAGATTAAAGGCAGCATGAAACAACACTTAAGTTCAACTCAACAAAATTTCTAATGAATACCATGTAGTTACAGGACTTCAAGGAGGGATAATGAAATGAAGCGTTTTCTGTCATGGCCACCTTCTTGCATCTGGGTGTGCAAGGTCCTGAGAAGCATTCAGTCTTTCTGAGTGTGAACACACCGGGTGGGAGTCAAACCTTCTTGCCTCACCAACCTTCTGAAAACCAAGTCTGATGGTTGAGCAGAGACAGCTGTCTACTGGGACTCGGTCGCCGGTTCCGAGTGGAAAGGCACACAGTAAGGAAAGGGCAGGGTGGGCAGCCGGTTTCCACCACGAGGATTGGTGGAGGCTGGGTCCTCCCATGGGTGATGATCAGAGGCAGGTTTTGAAATGTCCTGAGGCCGGGAGAGGTTGGCAGGGAGAGCGAGGCCCGGAGTGATTCTGGCTGACCTGCAGCCCTCTGTGGAAGTGGTGGCGCCAGTTCTCAATCCCCTTCCCAAACCCAGTGGCCAGGCACAGAGCTGGATCCCCCCTCACCTCCCCAAAGCACGCCTCCAGGACCCTGGTCCCCGGTACACCTTCCCTCGCCGCCTGCTCCCCACTTCCACCCGCCTGCTCATTCGTCTCCAGGTTACATGCTGACACTTGTAACACCTGCTTGGTGGGATCAGCCTTAGTCAGCAGCACACACCATGCTGTCTACACTCTGCCAAGAAAGGTGGAGCCATGTAATGCCACAAAGCACCACCAGGAGGGGAGTGGGCAGGGCGGGGCCTCCCTTGGTGCTCCAGCATCCAGGGCAAGGCCTGCCGCCTCCCGGGGCCTGTTTCCACACCTGTGAAAGCAGGAAGTGTCCCTGCTGGTGTGTTCGGACAAGTCCAGTGAGATGGTGGCGAGAATACTTGAGCACATTGTACAAATATAAACAGTCTTTTTCTTCCCCCAGTGATCTGCTGACCAATGCGGTCATTTAGCAAGTGATTATTGAGTATCTGTGGTGGGCCACAGTGGGCTGGGCCCTGGAGGTGGGACAACAAATGCAGCATGCTCCCTGACCTCAGGGAGCTCACCTGGGGGTGCAGCATAGCTGTGTAAACGAGTCAGAATACTCTCTGCTCAGTCTCCTGAAGGAACATACATCGGGTGCTCAGCTCAGACTGAAGGGCTTTGCAGCATCCCCCAGGAGCTGGGTCTTGAAGGAGGGAAAGAGAATCCCCTTAGGAAAAGAAGGGGGTGAAGGTCATTCCAGCAGTAAAGCAGCAGGTGCAGAGACAAGAAAACCGCGCGTGGAGCACGGCATGGGTGTGCACAGAGCTGGGCCACAGGCCGGGGGATGGAGAAGGACGCCTGCAGTGGCTGGCCGCCGCACGCTTGTCACGATGATATTTACACAGTGCTTGCAAGGTGCCAGGGACTTTCTAGTACATCACGTGTATTAACCCTTAATCTCCCAACCATCTTTGCTTGTAGAAGAGGAAACTGAAGCTCAGAGAAGTTGCATAACTTGCCCAAGGGCATAGCAGCTTTGCCAGGGAGCCTGAGGCTACTGAGGATGCACCGGGAGACTGAAAGTAGGGGCTGATGGACCCGTTCAGATTTTCTAGCGTCTGTTTCCAGTCTTCTAGATAATTTCTTGACTGCCTGCATAACTGATAAAGAATATGTCACTTTCTCCTGTGGAGATTTATGTTGTTTGCTGAAATACTTAATGATTAACTATCTCTCAGGTTGACCAGTAAAGTGATCCAGGAACTGAAGTCTCCTGGGATAGGGCAGATCGTAAATGGAAATTTACACCGATGACCAGTTAGCTTGGCTCCTTGGCTTCTCCTCCTGTCCCTAACAGTCTTTCGTGGAGGATAAACAGAAGAACCAAGGGACTTCAAAAATATGGAAACTTATAATAAGAGATGACAGAAGAAGAGCCTTGACCTGTTTGGGCTCACTCTTCCAGTAGTTCACTTCCAGGAACTTATCCTAAGCAGATAACCAGGCATACTAAGTCATGCATACAACAACGCTGTTACCTTGGTAACAGGCATGCGGTCCACCTGCTACCTGGCCACATATAATCTTTCTAATCAGATTGACTCTGGCTTGTCACCACCGGCCAGGGCTGGTGAGAGTGCAGTCTCAGCTCCAGCTTTCCTCCTGCATCTCTGGGGCTGTGGAGAATCCTTGGGCTTAAGCAGTACAGGAATTTAGGGGAGGGGGTTCTTAGGCATTTGACTCTCTGGGCTTCAGCATCTGCTGCCAAGACCAGCCCCGCTGCTGATGACATCACAGTGCTTTGGGCCGCGGGAATGCAGAGCAGTCCCTGGGCATCCTCAGTCCCTCACCCAAGGCTTTGCCCCCTCCAGGATGCCCCCAGCAGCTTCCTGCCATCGCCACACTCCTGAGGACTCCTTCCCTCCCTGGGGAACACACCTCTCCATTCCCAGTCTGGAATATTCTACCCTTCTGCTTCTGGTCTGGCCCTTTTCCCTTTTGACTCTAGAAGCTCAAAGCCTCCAGCCCTTCCTACCGAGGCCTTAGGGTTTACTGAACCCCCAGCTGACTCCTCCCTGAGCACCCACTTTGGAGAACAAGGGCTGTGGACTTTTTCTGGGACTGAGGGGAGTGTGGATGGCCACAGCTCAAAGCTCTCTGGGAGTCTGTGAAAGAAGGGAAGAAAGACCTCTGTTGTTTTATAAAGAACTTACAGCCTAGAAAACAGACCCAGTTTATTCTCAATATATTCTGCTACATTAAATCTTTAATGTCGTCCAATTACATCTATACAGTGAAAATCTGGAAAAACTTAAATGTCCTATTAAAGGCATTGTATCTTAGAAAAACATATGGCAATTAAAAGGCTCTGTTTTTAAAAACTATCTTAGTGGTTTGGAAATGTACTCTTGATATACTCATAAATGGTAGGTTTCAAAGCAGTCCAAGTTTTGGGATTTATTTACATATATGCATGATTGTATCACACACAGTCAGTGTCAAGAGAGGCAGAAGTATGGTCGAGGTTTATTTTCCTTTCTATGCCTCTGCTTTTTCCCGTTTCTTTCATCCAGTATGTGCTTTGGGAACGATGCTCACGGAAGAGGACTGTGGTGTGTAGGTGGCACTGGCCTCTCCCTGGAGTGCTGGGCTCCCCTGACAGACTCCCTGGTCAGGAGTACAGGCCGACTGGAATAGAGTGACAAAGGGAAGCAAAATACAAAATGCAAAAGAGGCAGGACAAAAACTTATGATACCAGGGTAACTATACCGGTAGGATTTTTTTTTTTAAGATCCTTTTTTTTTTCTCCTTTAGAGATGTAATTGATGCAAATTTTATATTTTTATTTTGGCCCAAATCAGCTCTTGGGCAATGTGTAATTTTCAGAAATATGCCTGATGTTTGAATATCCGTGTTGGGTGGTGGATGTTTTATTAATTCACTTTGTGGTTGGGGAACAAGTCAATAACCTCTCTGTAAGGCTTCCACAGCACCTACTACGTGCTGGACATTTTCCTAAGTGTTTCGCAAATACTAAGTTAATCCTTATTCCTAACCTATGAGGAGGGCAGTATTGTTTCTACCTTACGTATGAGGAGACCGACACCCAAAGAGGGGTTAGCAGTCACCAGAGACCACACAGATGGTGAGCAGCAGAATCAGGAGTCCAAGCCTGGCTGTGTGGCTCCAGGCTCGGTATCCGCCCTGGGGTTTGTCATGGGGCCTGAATGCCATCCACAGGTCTGTCATTTACTGCGAGCTGAACCCGTGCTCAGTCCCAGACACATCTGTCTCCACATTCCCCAAGTCTCTTTTTTTTTGTCCCCTGAATTTTCTTAGGAAATTCAGTTGAGAAAATGGTCACGTTTATTCCAGGCTTTATTTTATGAAACAATGACTGTCCCTCCATGGTGTACTAATTTCTTAACCTTTCTAAAATCACCCATTCAGTACTGATCATTGAATTCAGTGCAGTGAAAGAGAGGTGGTGACTTTGGGTGGCTGCATCAAGTGGCCACTTTGGACCCACATCCTGAGCCGCGGGAATGCCGAGTGACACCCGACCGCTCCCGCAGGCCGCCGGCGCCCCGGCTCAGCCAGACACACACCCCGGCTCACCTCTCTGATGTGCCAGGAGCAGGACAGAGGTAGATAGAACTATTTTCACTTGCTAGAACATAGTAAACACTAAAGCTGAACTTTCATACTTTTATAACTTGCTTATTTTAAAAATGTTTTTGCATTAAAAACTTCAACAGAAGAATGGGCTTCCTAATTTTAGACTATAGTGGGCTTCCTCCCTTTGCAACTGACAGTAAAGATTTATTTCTCCACTAATACAATTACCACCAACCAGTCACTTTCTCCGAGAACGGAGACCTCGCTGGGAAAGCCCACTCGGGCTGGGTCGGACCCAACACCTGCCGAGCTCGGGCCCAGAGCACAAACGGATACCTCCCCCACCACAGCGCCAGACCTCTCACGGTACAAGTCAGGCCAGCACGTTGCTAAATAAGATAAACTCTACTCTCTTACCTGGACAAGTAAGCCTTCCTGAGACCAGAGTTGAATCAAGGATGCTTGCTGCCCTGCAGGTGCTCTTGGGAAGCCTGCCTTCCTCCTCACCTTGGGTCCCCAGTGATCCGTCTGAGATCGCTCCCGGATGGCCTGCCCTGCCCCCTCCCAGGGCTGGGAGCGTGCACCGGATGCCCCGCGTACCACACCGCACACTGGACCACGCTGCGCTCCTGACCGCCCCGCACACCGGACCGCACCGTTCAGCCTTGGCCACACGGCTCTTGAGGTTCGGGGATGTTTGTGCTGGAACTCAGGACTGCAGGGTCCCAATACCCTACGCATGTTCGAGAAGCAGGGAACGCACAGACTCTGGGCGGATACATCCCCTCGACTGGCTACTTCTTGCTCTGTGCCGAGGGCTGGACAGGGAATGACAGCGGAGGGCAGAGCGGGACCCGGTGATGCACGGCTCTCCAGACTGAGGCCCAGGGCGGCCCTTCCTCCCCAGTGAGGGTTTTATTTCCCTGGTAGATACGCAGGCATCTGCTGTGCTCTGCGGGACGGACAGGATCAGGAGGAGATGGGCTAGAAAACGAATATTCCACAATGCTGCCTTTGACCTCCTCAAGGAAAAGGCCCTCTGCCTCTCCATCTTTTTGAAATTAAATTTTAGTTATTCTTGTAACTGTTCCATGACTTGATTTTGTAATACAGATTTCCAAAGGAAAACAAGGGTCATCTCCCAGGGGACGCCTGAGGAGACCTGGTGCCTCCCCTAGGAGGGAACAGCCATCACTGAGATCTGCTCGTACTGGGGGCCTTTAGACCTTAGGAGGGGGCGCTGTACTGGGGGGCCGTCAGGATTAGCACGTTTGGATGTAGGAGTAGAGCGCTGTCTGCTGGGATCTGTCAGACGGCCCCTCGGTGGAGGTCCAGCTGAGTTCAAGGACTCCGGCCCCGGGTGCTGACAGGATGATGACAAACACCACACAGGGCCAGGCACTGTGCTGAATATATTACATAAAGCTGATAAAATAGCATGCAGTTTATATATGTTATATATAAAGTTTATAGATACACAATTATATATTAAATAATACATAATCTAATTTAATACTCATAGCAGCCTTTGGAAGAAGTGAAGCCTGAAATGGTTCAGTGACTTGGCCTAGGGTAAGGTTGCTAGTTAAGTGGCAAAAGAGACTATAAATCACGTTTGTTTTGTTATGGAGCCTCTTAACCAGTCTGTTACAACCAATTGATACTTTATAAAAATAGGCAAATCGGTACAATTCCAGCCACAGATAGACCCAGCCTTAACTGATGATAGCTTCCATAGCTAATGAACGCTTAGGCAAGCTGAACTGGATGGGGAAATGTGAGTCCGCGGGGGAAGTCACCCTAGGATCATTGCCCTGTGTGGGAGGCCAAGGCCTGGGAAGAAAGCTTTGAGAATTTCCCTTCCTGGGGGCCAGGGCCAAGGCCGTAACTTAAAAAGTAGGCCTGGCGCTACCGCTAAATGAAATACTGTGGGCCAGAGCTACTGGCTGGCAGCTGCAGCCTGCAAACGGGATTTTGGAAGCACAGAGAATGTGCCTTCTGGGAGTTAGACCAGTACCAGTCTTAGAGAAGCTGGGTCTAGGCTTCAGTTAGGAGAGGAGTGGATGAATCTCATCCAAGAGATGAACCGGTGAATTGATCTTGAGAGGTCAACCTCCACTCATTTTTATTAAGACCCAAAGAAACTCATCTTCAAGTTGTGATTCTTTAGTACTCTCTTACCTGGACAAGTAAGCCTTCCTGAGACCAGAGTTGAATCAAGGATGCTTGCTGCCCTGCAGGTGCTCTTGGGAAGCCTGCCTTCCTCCTCACCTTGGGTCCCCAGTGATCCGTCTGAGATCGCTCCCGGATGGCCTGCCCTGCCCCCTCCCAGGGCTGGGAGCGTGCACCGGATGCCCCGCGTACCACACCGCACACTGGACCACGCTGCGCTCCTGACCGCCCCGCACACCGGACCGCACCGTTCAGCCTTGGCCACACGGCTCTTGAGGTTCGGGGATGTTTGTGCTGGAACTCAGGACTGCAGGGTCCCAATACCCTACGCATGTTCGAGAAGCAGGGAACGCACAGACTCTGGGCGGATACATCCCCTCGACTGGCTACTTCTTGCTCTGTGCCGAGGGCTGGACAGGGAATGACAGCGGAGGGCAGAGCGGGACCCGGTGATGCACGGCTCTCCAGACTGAGGCCCAGGGCGGCCCTTCCTCCCCAGTGAGGGTTTTATTTCCCTGGTAGATACGCAGGCATCTGCTGTGCTCTGCGGGACGGACAGGATCAGGAGGAGATGGGCTAGAAAACGAATATTCCACAATGCTGCCTTTGACCTCCTCAAGGAAAAGGCCCTCTGCCTCTCCATCTTTTTGAAATTAAATTTTAGTTATTCTTGTAACTGTTCCATGACTTGATTTTGTAATACAGATTTCCAAAGGAAAACAAGGGTCATCTCCCAGGGGACGCCTGAGGAGACCTGGTGCCTCCCCTAGGAGGGAACAGCCATCACTGAGATCTGCTCGTACTGGGGGCCTTTAGACCTTAGGAGGGGGCGCTGTACTGGGGGGCCGTCAGGATTAGCACGTTTGGATGTAGGAGTAGAGCGCTGTCTGCTGGGATCTGTCAGACGGCCCCTCGGTGGAGGTCCAGCTGAGTTCAAGGACTCCGGCCCCGGGTGCTGACAGGATGATGACAAACACCACACAGGGCCAGGCACTGTGCTGAATATATTACATAAAGCTGATAAAATAGCATGCAGTTTATATATGTTATATATAAAGTTTATAGATACACAATTATATATTAAATAATACATAATCTAATTTAATACTCATAGCAGCCTTTGGAAGAAGTGAAGCCTGAAATGGTTCAGTGACTTGGCCTAGGGTAAGGTTGCTAGTTAAGTGGCAAAAGAGACTATAAATCACGTTTGTTTTGTTATGGAGCCTCTTAACCAGTCTGTTACAACCAATTGATACTTTATAAAAATAGGCAAATCGGTACAATTCCAGCCACAGATAGACCCAGCCTTAACTGATGATAGCTTCCATAGCTAATGAACGCTTAGGCAAGCTGAACTGGATGGGGAAATGTGAGTCCGCGGGGGAAGTCACCCTAGGATCATTGCCCTGTGTGGGAGGCCAAGGCCTGGGAAGAAAGCTTTGAGAATTTCCCTTCCTGGGGGCCAGGGCCAAGGCCGTAACTTAAAAAGTAGGCCTGGCGCTACCGCTAAATGAAATACTGTGGGCCAGAGCTACTGGCTGGCAGCTGCAGCCTGCAAACGGGATTTTGGAAGCACAGAGAATGTGCCTTCTGGGAGTTAGACCAGTACCAGTCTTAGAGAAGCTGGGTCTAGGCTTCAGTTAGGAGAGGAGTGGATGAATCTCATCCAAGAGATGAACCGGTGAATTGATCTTGAGAGGTCAACCTCCACTCATTTTTATTAAGACCCAAAGAAACTCATCTTCAAGTTGTGATTCTTTAGCACCCTATCTATGCTTCCCGTAACTATTTCTCTGAAATTGCATGTAGTAAAATGACTTAAGAAATGAAGAGATCTGTTCCCTTGCTCAAAGAAAAAAATTTAGTAGGAGTTGGGAGAAAGTGGAAAGGAGACAGCCATTTGGGAGAAGTGGGGACGGGAAGAGAAGAGGTGGAGAAGAAGGAACCAAAGCAGACAGACCAGTGGCCTTTGCGGGCCGGCAGGGGGAGAAAGGAGAGCTGCTCCCAGGGCAGGAGGAGAATGGGGGCTAATCGTGCCTGCCGGACACCTCCTCGCCCCGGTGTGGCGCTGACTTACCCGCGTCTCCGGGCTGGGTGGACAAAGACTCGGGGAGGCAGCGGAGAACAGGGCTGGGAAAGGGCCTGTTTCCTTCCCCCATGAATGTGGGGTCTGTACATCCCAAGTTACGATCAGTAGAGTTGGCATCCAGCCACTCATGGCATCAGAAAAAAAAAAAAACAGTCAATGCCTTATAAGAAATAACAGTGCATTGTTTTTCAGAATTCTATTTATGTCATATACAGATTTTACCTAAAGGAAAGGGCTATCAACAAACACTGAATTCTAATTGAACACTTACTTCAGTAGGCGTGTCCTTGGGGTAAAGGACACTGATGTCTGCATCTTTGAAATGCCTCAAAATAATGTGGTGGATTGATGGATATGAACAGAGGGGTAGATAGTGGGATATACATGTCATCAAGCAAGGTATAGAGTCTAGGCGGTTGGTATACAGGTGTTCACAATTCTGCTGCTGTTCTGTATGTTTGCAAATTTTCATAATCAAATGTTGTACCAGAGAGAAGAGGCTCTTTGAAAAGACAGTACATGCACACACGATTTTCAAGCCGTTTTTTAAAGTCCCACTGAGTGATGAGAGTGCTTTCTTATATCTTGACCAGTTTCTTTTGTCTCATCTGCCTTTTTCTCTTCGGCAGCCTAGTGCAGCACAAGTGTTGGTACTTGGAAAAGGCATGTTTCATTACCACATGCTTAGAACTGAAGGGGAAATATACTGTGCTGTTCTTACAGCATATGTCAATTAGAGAAATCTATTATCAACTATGAATACTCTATTTGACTATATGTGAAATGCATCTATTTACCACAGTATTTTTTAACTAGTTAACACATATTAAGTAAAGATTAATATATATCTCTGAAGAGTTTTTTGTTTTGTTTGTTCTAAGTTGGACCTTCATTTGGTGAAATCTAAAACACACTCATGCCCAGAAAAGACTACAATTATTAAGTAAAAACAAAAAACACATCCTATGTTAAAGCAGAGGTATTTTTGTGGATTCGGTGTGAGTGGTTCTGGGTGTTTCAATTTTAAATCACTTCTTATAACTGCAGCAGACGCCCTGCAGTGATTGGGAGTAAGGCGTAAGGAAGGAGGGGATAATTTTTTACAGACCTTTCGCTTGCTCACCCCCACCCCACAGAAAAGGAGCTACACAATATTGTTAGGCTATGAATGTCTGGAATTCACTCCAATTGATCCCTAATAGTAGACTTTCCAGTTGATTATTTTTCAAATTACCTGCAATTGGAGCTATCCCTCTAGTCTTTCCCACCTATTTTAGGCTTATCTAGAGCATCATAAGGGAGATATGTCCATAAGTAGTGAAAAAGTCAATAACAGGTTAAAAGGTATCTTATGTACTTATTTAAAAACACTCATTTACATTCAATGACTTAGACTTTGAAAAGAAAATTGAATTTTAAGGAAATAATGGAGCTCAGGATTAAATAGCAATTCTATCTGATGAATCTTAGCTTTTTTTGGGTGGCAAAACAAATGAATTCCAATATCATCCAGCACAAACACATGGTAGTATTAGTGGCATTTGTGTCCTAAGGAAATAAACCTCTCATTCTCCAAGAATATACAGTATAAATACTTGAATCATAAAGCTGTGAGATTCGTGTTTACTGTGTGTATCAAGTAAATGTAGTTAGTTGCAGAGTCCCAAAATAGTAACAAAAGTCCAATTGCCAGTTCTGCTTAGGTAATTTTAGGATACTCACATTATTTAAGTATCAGACCTGTAAACCAGTTCGCTCAATCAATGATCCCCTTGCTGAACCTTTGACTATTAAAGAGGCTTAAAATGCCAGAAATTAAAACCCACAGCAGAATATCAAGACTGTGTTTTAATGGAAAGGAAACACTGGCATACAGGCGGCGTGGGCTCGTGAAACGCCCTCTGTCACCAACAGCCCCTTTCTCAAAAGATAATACTAGGTTGGGTATCAGAAATGTGAGCCATCTAAAGAAAACAATATGGTAACATAATTGATATCTAGTGAATTGCTTACTGTTTTTAAACAAATTATTTACTAAGTAAAGCTGTTTTCCCTCTGCCTTTGAAAAGCATCAAATACATTCTGCCTTGAACGTATTTAGATGAAGGGAACAAAAACTATATTTAAATCACTTTTTAAAATACCACATTTTCATCCATAAGAAAAAAACCGTTGCTTGTTGACCTGAGAGTAATGAGAGTCACAGTCGGTGGGAAGTAACTACATAAACCACGACACCCACTGAAGCCAGACAAGGAAGGAAATAATCAGTTACACAAATGACTGGAAATGTAACTTACCTCCTCTGATGGGGGTGCTGGTGCGGAAGCAGGACAGCCCTGAGAACCCGTGGGTAAACAGCAGAGCTAAGGGGCTGGAGCAAAAACTCACATCAGACAGGATTGTTTCAACCCACCCTCCTCTCAAGGACTGTTGACCCTCTGAAACCCCACCTCAGATCATCAAAGCGTAAATCCCTGGGCTAGCAGGAACTCACAGCCCGTCTTCATGTACTCAGAGTGGAATTCCAGAACTCACTGTGCCTGTTAGGTGACCGCAGTGTGTTCGCAGTGAGGTCTTACGAGCCATGCCACTTTCTTGGGTGGCATAGTCACCCTGCAATGGGCCACACAGCCTGTCAGAAAAGTTCTCTTTGGGTCAGATTCCCAGAGAATGAGCAGGTGCAAGCACAGCCAAAGCCGTGGCAGAGCTTCATTCAATCACTCGATGGAACAGAGATGCTTTTAATAAAAGCTGCACCGAGTTATTACTGTATGTGTCTCTCAAGCCTTTCAAGCTGAGATATTTTGTTTTGTTTTTTTAAACACATCCCCCAGGATTTTAATTCCCTGAGAGGCTCTCTGACCTGAAAGCAGACAGGGTTTCAAAAAAAAAAAAAGAAAGGCACGTTTCACTCTGGCCACATGTTTAAGCTGCCCTCCCAGAACGGGATCTGTCCTTCCTTCTGGTGAGGACATGCTCACATACATTAAAATAAAGAGGGCGTGTAAATTAACAAGTCCATACTCTTCTGTATCAAAGAATCAACCCCAAATCCATGACAGGCTTACCACTTCCCCCAAACAGACATTTGGGGAATAGGCATTGGAAAAAAATAAAACCAGATGAAAGAGATGTTGTAACCTAAGAGGATGTTCTTTGCTAAGCTTTCAGAATCAAGATATTTATTATACACGCTGTCTCATTTTTGTCCCGGTGTGAGATAAATCCACGGGTGCCAGGCATGGTGACATACAATGGGCATTAAACCCACACAGTCTTAGCAAATTAGGTAAATTAGAGATCCTTTGATGGTATCCTGTTGTTGCTATTGTGATCACAGTAATTTTCCCTGGTAATGGTGCTTGGTGATGAAGAGCGGTTCTCACAGGATAATTGTGGAATATACCAGGAGGTTCAGGGATGCAGCATCTGGTTTTAAAAGCTCTTCAGATTCAAATTGGCGTTTCACTTCATCTTGAAAATTTATTAGAGATTCAGATCATGCCAGTTTAAATAGAAAGGTGAAAGCAGGGTAATTTCAATCTATGAATTATTCAGTCTCAGCCTCGCGAAATTGCCATCCATGGACCGATGCTCTGGCAGTCCTTCCTCAGAGCCGCCACCACGTTCGTCATTTTTATTTCTTCATCTACGATCTCTTTCTCAGTTACCGAACTTGCCCCTTAGGCTCGGCTTCACAAACCACAGTGTTTCAAACTGCAAATAACCTAAATGCGCTGCTGTCTCAAATCGCTGTCTCCACGGGCTGCCTTTTTTTCCAAATCATTAAAAACCACATCCCGGATGGTATCTGTTAGGCTTTTTGAGTAGATGAATAAGACAGACACACACATACACACACTCACGCGCACACATACACACACTCACGCGCACACACACACACACGCGCAGGAGGGCATCACTGCCAGGAAGTTCTGTGCCGCTAACACTGCAAGAGAAGACAAAGTGGTGCTTTCTGCTTGCTTCTGTGTCACCGTGTGGCCGTCCTAGCTGTGCAGCCCCACGCAGACTAGCCAGTGCTGAGCAGGCTCACCTGGCGCCCTGATTCCCAGCCAGAGCAGATGAAGACTGCACAGAAGGCAGCCCAGTCCAGACACTGTGCTCTTAGCAAGCACCGTTATTTAGGAACGTGAGCAGAAGCCATCAGATGACCGAAGTCAGACTGTCCTCCCAGGCTCAGCCGCAGCAGCTCACCGCTCCGTGGCTCCTGTGTCCCTGCTAATCGGCAGCTGTCCCCGCACCCAGAGGGGCCTGGGATTGGCTGGGCCGGTGAGCCTGGTGTCCCCTCTGCACTGAGTTCTAACTGCAGAGTGGGGGGCGGCGCCAGCCCCGTGAGCAGCCTGCGCTCTGAGCTGGGATCACACAGCTGCGGCTCTGTAGAGTTGCCTGCGCAGGCCCCGGCTGGACAAACCGCCGCGAGCATCGTCTGCTTTGTCCTCCTAGCCTTCGTTCCTGCAGGTACGGCAGCGCGGCTTACAAAGCCCCCAGCCAGGCCCGCGGGTGGCGGGAAGCCAGCCGGACTCCCCCGAGCGGCCCTGCTCACTGCCAAGTTAGAAGCCCATCGTGTACGTTCAGACCGCCCCTCTGCTCCGGGCTAGACAAAGGCCAGTGCTCCTCGTGCAGGCAGGACAGCGGCGCTCTGGAGCTCTGCCGCCCTGGGCCGGGCTGCGACCAGGAGGCTACAGAGCCTGCAGAAGCCGGAGCTCCGGCAGCTGTGATCATGCAGAAAGCAGCCGCTATGACACCGCAGTCAGCTGACTTGCAGGGTGTTATCACTGAGCGTCCTCCACAGAATCAGGCCAGCTTCCAAGGTGGCACCAGTCAGATGACCTTGAATGTAAAGCGTGACTTGAAGAGGGCAGCCTTTCTCAAGTCCCCACCTGGCAGGGACATGGCGCGTCGCTGTCTCCCAGGCAGAGTGTTTAACTCACAGCCTTCAGCCTGTGAGGGTGTCTGTCCTACTTGCTAAGGGGGGAGGCAATGATTCAACCAGTGCAGAAACAGGTGAACGTCAGCCCCAGCCCTATTGTTCTGGTTAGTTTCAGCACCAGAAGAACAGTTGTGGGAGAATTCCTGCCCCTGTTTTGGTTTTAAAAGCGCCCTACTTAACAGGGAGAAATCGCCTTTAGCTTCTTGTATGTTGTTAAGAACTAGTCAGTTGTCCCTAACAGAATGCAAGAGCGATAGGAAAAAAGTCGGAGGTCAGTGAGTCCGGCGCTGACCTTAAATCGCGGTCCGGTTGCTGTGAAGCAGCCTGCGTGCTCCAGTGCTAAATGCAGGTTGCACATCCCAATTATCTGACAACGGAACGAAAGCCTCGTCTAGTTTCACCCCAGTGGTCCGAGGTGCTAAAATAAGAACGCAGTCATTACCAGGCATTTATTTAATGACTGTAATCATACCCAATTAATTTAACTTGCTGCCCTGTTTAACAGAAAGTCAGTTATAAATCTGTGCTCAAAGAATAAGCATATTAGGATGCGCGTAGTACCTTCCTCGGAGGAGACATCCTCTGAAGATGATCTCACATCCTGGGCGTTTACGGCGCTCTCAGAATGTGCGAAGTGCTGTGCGGGACGATCTGTGACCAGCCTCTCGGAGGACAGGCGCTCGCGGGTCTGCGGCAGAATGGCCCGTGCACTGCAGGTCTAGCATGCAGGCCATAGCCTCACTGACCGATGCTTGTCACTCTGCTTGGATTCGGCCTTTTCTTCCCATTTGTGTTTTATGAATGTTGTTTTTCTCTTTGCTTCTTATTTGGTTCTGTCGACTCAAATCCCTCCTTAAAAGAGGACCTTTTCAGGTAGCAGGCGGGAGGCCCTGACCAGACGGGATTGCACAGTCCATAGGACCGCAGGGCTAGCGCGTCACGCAGCGCTAAGAAAGGGCAGATTCTGCTGAGGCGGCGGGCGGGTGGCCCCGGCTGAGCAGCGCTACCCGGGGAGCCGAACATTAGCACCCTTTTCCAGCTCTCACTAGAGAATTCGAGTCTTACATCGGCTGCCTTCCTTCAAAGCCTGCCATTATGAAATGGGCCCCAACGAATAACCAATCCCCTTCTGTGTAATTCCTCAGAGGCATTTACATTTTTGGAGAAAATAAAGCTTGCAGAGGACGCATGGCTGTGTCATCGGGGAATTTCAAGCGCCAGCTCCCCAGGAAGGAAATCATTTCTGAGGGTCAAGGAGGCCTCCTCCAGGGGGGTCCCTCTCCTTTGCCTCTGGCTGACCCGTGCCCACGCAGTGTGGTGTAGGGAAGGCTCAGCCTGGAGCTTCCAGAGGCAGCGTGTGCCATGAATGTGGGTGGTCAGTGTGAGTTCCCGTGCAGGACAGTCTCTGGCGGCATCTGTCACCCTCCTCAAGGGCATCCCATCTTTTAGCCTAACCACTGGCCTTTTAAAAAAACATCCCAGGTAATTAATTCTGCCTTATACCCAAGCTTGAGGACTACCGATTAAATATGCAATGGATTCCTTTTTTGCATGTATGAATTTGTGGTTGGGAATTCAAATGTACCATATATATTCTAGTTTAATATAAGAATGAAAGAATAAAAATGAGCCGGTGCTGTTAGAATTCTGGACAGACCTGCAGGCTAGCCCCCCCCGGGGGGTGACTCCTGCCACAGCCCCTTGTTCTGGCCTCTCTCAAGCACCCACCACCCTGCGCTGTGGCTCTGCACTCACCCAGCGCCCTCAGTGGACTGGGGAGCCCTCGGAGAGCAGGGGCTCGGCACATTCCTCCTGATGGCCCCCGGGACTTCCCCCTGGCCTGGCAAGTGCTTGTCTTCCCCGTGTGTGAAGGCAGTGAAGGGGGGCCAAGGCCACCTTCCTATCAGAGAAGAGAACTCAGACGTACCGCATTTCAATAGGCCGCCCAACTTCCCTTCCATAGTAGGTTGTCCTGAAATAACATGCTTCCCGCTGCCTGAGGGAATGCTAGTTCTCACCTGAGGTACTGACGTAAAGGCTGTGAGGCGACTGATTTAAAAAGGGCATGTGGAGGGGGGAATGGATGACATGCTTTCTGAAAGTCCATTGAAACCCTACATGTATTTAACGGTTAGTAAGTTTCAGTTAATCTTAGCCGTTTATTGAGAAAAACAAGGCACACATTTAATCTTTCTTCACAGTTTAGAGAATGAGGCCAGGCAGGCGGAGGCCCCTCATGACTTTGCCTTCTCCAGTGCAGGCCGGGAAAACATTTCTGTCCCCAAGCCCTCTGGAAATCTCCACTTCGACCTGAGGACATCAGGTTTTCTTTTTGACACACATTCTCTGGCAGTCTTGTCAAGTGTATGGATCACTTCTCAGTAATGCTTTTATATGGATATGCAATAAAGAGGATTACAAAGGAAAGTAATGTATTAAATATCCTAGCTTAAGAAACTTTGCCTTAGAAAATCAAAATACGTCCAAGGTGAGATTGCAAAATGACTGTCTTCTGTTCTAACTCTTATCCAATAAGAAGGCAGTTCATGAAGAGCCAAGATAAGATAAAGGGGTAAGAAGGGAATAGATGACTGTATTTATCAAATTTCATTAAACCTGAAACTGAATGTTTCTTCTCAAAAGTGACCTTTTCGGTGACAAGCAGATTCCTCATTTTCACATTTAAAAAAATATACTATACTTTCCAAACTGTCACAGACCCTTCCTAAGTCCTTAAAAAAATGTGAAGGTAATTCACTCTTTCAACTTTTTGTTTGACAGATGAGGGAGGAAACTGAAGCTCCCACAGATTGAGTCTAGCCACAGCAGCATGTAAATAAAGAGACTGTAGAGCCCAGGGCCCCATTTCCTAAAGGTGCCTGAGCCCCTCTTATTCCATGTTTTGTCAGTGATGGGCAGGCATTTTAAAAGCTCGGTATGGAAACCACTGCAGCTTGACACCAGCCACAGTGGGAATATTTACACCAGAAACAGGCAAGCTCTAAAAATCAGGGTGGTTTTTCCCCCACAGAGCTGAATCACGTATTGTACCATACTTAGTGATGCTGACCTATAACCATGTTCCCTTTATTTCAGCCCCAGAATCTAAAATGCTTATGAATATAAAGCCCAGTCGGGAAGGCTAAAGCTTCTCAGGTTAGAGGGCCTTTGAACTCAATGGCACTAATTACCCGTGTGACCTTGGGCATGGTCTTCCCCTGTCTGGAATTCAGCTTCCTTCTTCGTGACCCAGGGAGAATACTACTGGGAGCACAGGCTGTTGGGTGCGTTCATGACGTCGTGCATGTGAACTTCTTAGCGTGGATTCTCACACAGGCTCAGCTCCCCATGGCTGTTAGCCATGATTATATCCCCCCTCCCCCTCCCCTTCCCCTCCCCCTCCTCCTCTTTTTTCTTATTCAATAGGTCATCATGGCAGGTTGACATTACTTGCCTTGAAATAAGTAAAGATATTTTAAAGAGACCACAGGCGAACAGCATAACACCTGCACGACCCGCTTGGGATTCTGGAGAATGGAGCCTCATCCTGTGGTTCCTGACCCCTGGGGGTGATAGAGACTTAAAGGACCATGACATTTTTGCATAAATTCTGTCATCTAACAGAGCATCACAATTCAACAGAGAAATTATTGATGGACATAGTTTTGGCATGATTTTAGGAAGTTTGGGAAGCCAGATTAAAACCACACACTGTATTAGGAGTCACTGTGTGTAAAACATAGAGTCAAGCCTCTCGCTCCTGCAGTCACAGAGCCCTGTGCGTGGATGTTTTCACTTGGGGAGTTTAATGGCCAATTTGCACCCCCCCCCCCCCGAGACATACTGTGATTTCCAGAGCTAAGAATTCCTCCACTGAGGTTCAGCTTCGGGGCCAGGAGGCTTTGCCTCGAGGCAGAGTACTCGGTCCACAGTGGGCAAGGAGCTGGAAGGTCAAGCTGGCTCCGTCCAGGGAGCTACAAGCCAGCAAGCCACCCCTTTGCCCCTTTCGTACTGGCATTGCCATGTTTGTAGATGGGTCCCATAGCTCCTGTCCTATCTCTTGGGCTTCTCTGCATGTGGTGTGGGACACAGGACCACTTTCATAGGGACAGGGTAGAGACACAGCTGAGAGAGGTGGGGGAGACCCACCCTCATTTCCACCCATCCTAGCCCAACCACAAAAGAGAAAAAAGGGCATAATGCTATCGGCATGGCTCAAATAAAATCCAGAGGGAATATAGACCAAAGTTATACAGTTCTCGTAGATGGCCTGCCGCAGGCACAGGTTCTGTCTGTTCAAAGAAAGGACGGGTCACTGGCTCCCCTCACCCTGACGCTTCCTCAGGCTCCAGGTCATGGGCGCCTACTCTGGGTCCACTCATTCAGAGCTGAGGATCCACTCCCAGAAAAGGGCATCTCATGTGACGACAGGACTCTAATCGGTCAGGCTGTGGCCGGGAGACATCAGCCTCCCAGCCCCTGAAGAAAAAGGTGTTTGACCCAAATACCAATTCCGTGTAACAACAGAGTGCAGAATAGAAACAGTTACCATTTGTTGTGTGTCTGTGGTATGTCATGATAATCTTCCCAATCATAAATAGACTGATATATACACGCAGGGCTTTCTATGGCCAGAGTTCCAGATGCCTTACATACAATTCACTGAAGCCTACAACAGTCCCGTAAGGAAGATATTCCTACAGCAACTCCATCAGGTCAGGATGACTATGTACCCTCACATATGGGAAAATGGAAACATGAAGATTCAAATCACACGTCTGGTAAATACAGGTTTGTGGATTCAAATCCAGGATGCCCAATCTGGGTTCAAATTCAATCTTGTGCTCTTCACTATTAATATGCAAATACTGGTTTCCTACAAATTAGTGTTCATTTATAATAGTCTTTGATTGGGTTGGAAGAGCCTAGAGAATGAAGGGAT